ACAGAGCAAGATTCTGTATTTAAAAAAAAAAAAAAAGAAAGAAAAGAAATGGACAACACTGAGTAATTGAGTGTAGGTCAACACTTAGGTACTTAGGTAACCATATGTCTGTCTCTCGCCTATCATTTCTTTCTCCTTCCTATTCTTACTCTCTCCTCCCTCAGGTTGAATCTCCCAATTTAAGTAACAAAAGAAGTTTTTCCACTAGTACAGACTTCAGCCCATTGTTTTGCAGTGTCCTTCTGACAGATGTGTCTTTAGTCACACAATTAAATTTCATGTACACCAGAGACTGAAGACTCCATTAGTTCCCTATTAATGTCAGACTAACAACAAAAACTCAAGCTGGGCACAATGGCTTGTACCTGTAATCCTAGCTACTCAGGAGTCTGAGGTGGGAGAATCGCTGGAGTCTGGGAGTTCAAGACCAGCCTGGGCAACAAAGTGAGATCCTGTCTCAAAAACAAAATGAAACAAAACAAAAAACTTCTTTGCTTAAAATTCCAGGTTTTCTGTATTTATCTTCTTCACTAGACTCGAATCAGCTCCTTAATGGTAGGGATCAAGGTAATTGGCATCTCTGTACCTCTGACTCTTTGCATCAAGTCTGCTGAAACCATGGCAGGTGCTTGAATAAATACGGAGCAGAACTGGTCCCAACTTACCATTCCAAGCTCATCCCCTACCACTTCCCCAACTTGCTCTACCTCCAGTTACAGTGAGCTTTTTCTATTGCCCTCAGCAGGCCTTTCTCTTTTAGGATTTACTGCCTTTTTCTTCATTGATTCCTCTGCTGTGATAGTCCTCCCTGCTGGCCTGGCTGACTCATTCTTCAAGACCCACTTCAGTTACCAGCAGCTCTGCCGAAAACTTTCTGAACCCCTGGGCAAAATTAGTAATTCCCTTCACAAGTCTTGAACAGTTGTCTGTTCACATCTTGAATATGGCACTTGGTATACTATTGAAAGCATCTGCTGCCAAGTGCTATGGCTCATGCCTATAATCCCAGCACTTTGGGAGGCCGAGGCAGGTAGATCATGAGGTCAGAATATTGAGACCATTCTGGCCAACATGGTGAAACCCCGTCTCTACTAAAAATTAAAAAATTAGCTGGGTACAGTGGCACACACCTGTAGTCCCAGCTACTCAGGAGGCTGAGGTAGGAGAATCGCTTGAACCCGGGGGCTGGAGGTTG